TGCAAAATTGATGGCATCACACATCACTTCAAAGGGCAAGTCCCAATCTGGAGGCTGCACAACAGGAGCTGTAACCAAGGCCTGTTTGATATGTTCAAAAGCAGACTTGCACTCTTCTGTGAACTCAAACTTCACATCTTTGCAGAGGAGGGCGGTAAGAGGTCTTGCAATCTTGCTGAAATCCCTGATGAATCTTCTGTAGGATCCAGCATGACCCAGAAAACTCCTCACTGCTTTGACTGAATCAGGTGCTTGCAGACTTGTCAGCACTTCAATTTTCACCCTATCCACCTCTATACCGTCTCCTGAGACCCTGTGACCAAGAACAATGCCATCTTATACCATAAAATGCTTCACTTTACATCTCTGCAGAACTGCACACAAGTTGTCCAAGCAGCTCTTGAAGGAAGACCCATAAACTGAGAAGTCATCCATGAAAACCTCCATAAACTTCTCAATCATGTCAGTGAAGATCGACATCATGCATCTCTGGAAGGTTGCAGGAGCATTACACAGTCCAAAAGGCATTCTGCGATATTCAAAGGTGCCATAAGGACATGTAAAAGTGGTCTTCTCCTGATCATCTAGATGGATGGGGATCTGAAAGAAGCCTGAGTGGCCTTCAAGGAAGCAGTAATACTTGTGATTCGCCAGCCTCTCCAGCATCTGATCGATGAAAGGCAGAGGGAAGTGGTCTTTCTTTGTGGCTGCATTCAGCTTCCTGTAATCGATGCACATCTTGTGTCCTGTCACAGTTCAGGTTGGAATCAGCTCATCCTTGTCATTCCTCACCATTATAACTCCTCCCTTCTTAGGGACCACGTGCAATGGACTCACCCAAGCACTGTCTGGTATTGGATAAATGATCCCAGCTTGCAGCAGCTTCATGATCTCCTTCTTGACCACATCCTACAGATTCGGATTCAGTCTCTTCTGGTGCTCTACTGATGATTTCGATTCATCCTCCACGTGTATCCTATACATGCACAAGTCTGGTCTGATATATCATCAATAGAATAGCCAAGAGCTTTGCGAAATCTGCGCAGCTTACTTAGCAAAAGGGTGAGCTCTGCATTGTTCAATGAAGCATTAACAATAACAGGATAAGTAGATTTTTCTCCAAGGAAGACTTACCTTAGCCCTGCAGAGAGCTGTTTAAGCTCAACTTTTGGTGCTTTTTCTGCACTCCAATCACCCAATGTAGCAACTTTTGCAGATGTGGTGACAAGCTCATCCTGTGCAACCAGCTCCATCACATGTGCAGTAGCATCCATCATCTTTGTGTAACCTGTTGCAGCAGCATCCAAATGCTCATACTCTACTGTAGAAGTGGTCAACGCCCTCTCCAAGGGGTCATCTGAACTCATCTCATGGAAGATCTGATCAGCAATGTTGGTGAGAACATCCACATAAAAAGTCTGTCCATCTATGGTTGGCTTCTTCATCAGCTTGTCCATTTCGAATTGCATCACCAAGTCACCAACATTCAGCTATATTCTACCCTTCCTGACGTCAATGATAGCTCCTGCAGTAGCCAGGAAGGGTCTGCCAAGAATCAAATGGTCTTTGGGTTCTTCTCCATATTCCAGAACCACAAAATTAATAGGAATCATGCAATCTCCCACTTTGATAGGTACATCCTCTATCACACCTTCAGGAACTCTGACTGATCTATCAGCTAGGATAATAGATATCCTTGTAGCCTTAAAATCGGTCATCCCTAAGCTCTTGGCAACAGAATGAGGCATAAGGTTCACACTAGAATCAAGATCACACAATGATCTCTCAAACCTGTCAGAAAAGATTGTGCAGTGTAGAACAAAGCTCCCAGGGTCTGAAAGCTTCTCTGGCACTCTGTTCTGAATCACTGCACTGACTTGCTCGTTGATCATCATAGCTCCAGCCTCTAAACTCAAGTTATTGGTCACCATTCTCTTCACATACCTCCTTATAACAGGAGTGACCCTCACAGCATCAATCAATGGGATCTCAATAACCAACTTGTCCATGATAGCTTTGCATCTAGCATCTTCAAGATCTTGTTTAGACTTCTTAGGATGCTTAGGATAAGCTATCTTGGGCTTATACACTGTCTCCTTAGCATTATTTGAAGTCTCAGTCGAAACTGTAGTATGTTGCAACGGGTGACGAGCGTCACCAGGTTGGTGATGAGCGTCACTCGTCTTGGACAAGTCGTGATGATTTGCTCGATTTGGGTGACGAGCATCACCCTTCTGGTGACGGTCGTCACCAATTTGTGAAGAATAATCATCGGGGTTGTGCTCGGTGGGTGACGAGCGACACCCATCCTTGGTGACGAGCGTCACCCGTGGGTTTTCAGCAGAAATTTCCTCATCTTCATACTCTTCAAGTCCCACGAAATTTCTTGAGCTCAAGTCCTTCTGCAACACTGGTTGCAGGTTCTTTCTACTCCTCAATGTGATGGCATTCACATGATGTTTGGGATTAGCATCAGTTCTTCCTGGAAGAAATCCTTCTTGCCTCTGAACAGCTCATGCAGTTTGGGCAACCTGCACATCAAATTCTTCATATGAGAGTTCAGACTCTCAATTTTCCCATTCAGGTTCTGATAGAGCGAATATATATTGCCATTGAAGTCCACTGTCAGCTTCTGTTTTCCTGCTAGGATCTGTTCCAGCACAGTTTCCATCTTGTTCTCTTGTGGAGGTGCAGATTGGTAGGAAGAACAATCATAGTTCCTGTTGAAATTGCTGCTGTTTTGGAATGGTTTCTGGTACTCTGTCTTCTGGAATGGAGGCTTAGGTGTGTAACCAGTCGTGCTCTGATTTCCTGTGAAGGCACTCTTCTGATTATTGTTGTTGTAGCCTCTGTTCCACTGCTGATTTCCATACCTTTGACCCTGAAATCCTCCAGCATTGATGAAATTTACATCTTCCTGCTCAATCTCTTCTGGACTTTTGAAAGTCTCCACCTCTGCAGCAAAATGAACTGACTTCTTTCCCACTAAGAGGCTGTGCATACTGTCCAGCTTAGCCTTAACTTCGGCAATCTGATTCACATCGTCCAAACCAGCTTGTTCCATATTCTGAAAATCTGCATTCTTGGTGTTGTTGCTGCAGGCCAAGTTTTCAATCAATCTGATTGCTACTTCTGGTCTGTTGGTGTTGAAGTTTCCTGCACTAGCTGCATCCAGCGCTATCTGATATTTTCAATCAATGCCTCTAAAGAAGATCCCAAGTAGTTGCACCTGACTGAAACCATGATGAGGACAGTCCCTTTGACAAGACTTGAATCTCAGCCAAGAAGCCTTAAAAGCTTCAATAGGACCTTGAGAGAATGATGCAATTTTCGTCCTCAGGTCCTCTGATCTAGCATCATCATAGAAATTATTCAGAAAGGCATTCTTGGTGTCTTAAGTAATTAGTGAAGCAGGCTCTAGTTGCTTCAGCCAAAATGCAGCATCTCCTCCAAGTGAGTATGGGAAAAGCTTGCAAAACAGAAAGTCATTGCTAACTCTATTTGCTTTGATACTTGAAGCTAAATCCTCAAACCTCTCAATGTGGTCCATAGGATGCTCATGAGGTAAGCCATGGAATGGATGCTGTCCCACCAGCTGATAATAAACAGGTTTAAGCTCAAAATCGTTCCTCTGGATAGCAGGAGGGCGGATTGCAGCTCTGTTAGCATAGAACTGATCATGTATGTTGTAGTCTCCTAAAGTCATCTGTATAAAACGCCCAACAGTGTTGCTGGCAGCAGCAGGGACTCCAGCGTCTTCTGCTACTTGTTGAACCTGCTGTTCAACAATGACATTCTCATCTTGATCAATTCTCTGCCCATCTTCGTTCCTCCTGTTTCCCTCTCTGTCAACTAAATGACCATCTGCATCTTCAACCAAGATCAGTGGAGCAACCATTGTAGACTGTTTCTTAGTTTTTCTGATGGTCCTCTCCAACTTAGCAAGTTCGTCGATGCTCAAAGTCACAAGCTCCTTCTCTTTGTTGCTTCTGGTACTGCGATTAGGCATGCACCTGAAATCAGCACAAAGAAAAGTAGCAGAAAGTTAGTAAACAAATTAAAACTTAGAAAAAATCCTAATACTAAAAGTCGATAGACACCTATTACTCCCCGGCAACGGCGCCAAAAACTTGATAGGGCTCAGGTTTTACTTAAATAAAACTACTGCAAGTGCACAGCAAAGTAATTGTAGTACAAGGGGTATCAAATCCCAAAGGAGTATATAAACTACACTATCGATAATAGGTTCAGATTAAGCTAAGCAGCAGATGGTGTATGTAATGCGAATGACAAATTAAATGTAAGCAAACGAAATTTGGTTGTTGATCTAAGTTTCAGAAGACTAAAAACGCTAAGTTAGGACAGTTCAAATGTTGAATCCGAGAATGTAGAATGCATGAAATCAGGAATGATTAAGAACCGTCTTGAATATGAATCGCAAATATATAACTAATCAATTCTCATTGCAGAAGTTATCTATGTCTAAATTACAGAGTTTCAAATCTCTTTGCAAACCCTAACAATCTAAACATGCAGTAATGATCAGGTTCAATTGTTCACAAAACTTCTAAGCCAAATCTCTTTGCACTAAGTTGTTTTGCTCATCAAATACTAGTTCAGGTTATCAATAATGCTCTCACATATATTTACCAACCTATGATTTTCGGATTTCTAGATGATGTTTCTAAGAAATTTGATTTTAAAGCAAGCAGAGATGAAGAACAAGAAGATAATCCTAACAGGTAGCAATTCTACAAACTCTTCATCAACCCTTGAAAAGCCCTAACCTAAATAGCAAATTACTCAGACATGATCATGGAATCACAAAACATAACTGAATAAAATTTCATTAAGAAAATAAAATAAAAACAAAGGGGGTTCAAAATCTTCTTCAAAAAGAGTACAAGATCTGTCTCCCCAAAAGCTCTCAATAAAATCCTCTTTAAAGCTCTCTGAATTTTCAAAAACTAAGATTCCTGGCCAACAATGGCTGAAAACCTAATATATAGAAGCTAAAACACGATCTGGAGCCTTCTTGCAAATACTGGAACTTAGGGGCCAATTCTGCAAATAATCTTGATACTTTTAACAAATCAACCATGCTCCTTCCTTTGTGGGTGACGAGCATCACCATAAATGGTGACGAGCGTCACCCAAATGCATACTTTCTCCTCCGAGCTGGATACTTCGTGGATTCAACTTGCAATGCTCCAAAAAGCTTCAATATCTCCAATTATGGTCCAGACATGCTATAACATGTAAAGACTCTAATAGGACTCTAAAAAGACCAAAAAGACTCAATAAAAAAGACTTATATCATGATTAAAAACAATAAAAACCATGATATCTCACTCAGAAAGCTTTTGAAAAAGAGTGCAAATAATTTTTTGTTCTGTAAGTATTTGCAAGATGCATGAACTTGAGGTCTACTTATTTGTACAATAAAAACGCACTACTTTAGACGAAATCGTATTATTATATGATATAAAATACTATAACCTGATAAGATTTGGTTTACCAAAACGTTCCAGTGTAATTTCAAAAAGATCAGCATCAGACTCTTCGTCATAGTCAAGCTTACGTCTGTTGCTATTTCCCACAGTAGTTCTTCCGCTAGCAATCTCGTCACTATTTCCTCTAATGATAAAATTGCTTAAATACTGAGAATCTAATCTTCCAATGGAGAAGAGCTCTTTGCTGTCCTCAAGCCCGAATGCAGCACCAGCACAAGGGTTAGGTGTGCGTTGCACATTTGCCGGACCATAGTAAAATGGAAATTGCCCCAAGTTGACAAGAACTGTGGCCTCTGTGTTGGAAGCAAGGGTGGGGTATAGAGGTGTCCCGAATTCGTCTGCTTTACAGTTAATAACGTGAACCAAGTGCGAGTCGACCGTGAAGTAAACCTTCTTCTTCTTTGGGTCGTAACCACAACCAATAGCCTTGTTTTCCTTTGCCCACTCATGTTTCTCCGATTTACAAACCAGCTTCATTCCTGACACTCACATAATATACAGTTTAAGAATTTAACCTATATCCACATAATCGTCTACATGAGATCATCCAATTAGTTTGTAATTGCATCACAATTTACATCCTCCTCTTAATATTAATTGTGAAGTGGAATTAGTAAATAATGGCTAGGTGTCATCTTCACAATCAAAATTAGTATATTCAACTGATAATAGGGAAATGTGAAAATGTGACATAGAAAAAAGATGAAATATTTTGATTGGTTAAATTAAGGTTATTTTAAACAAATATAATTTTTTAACAACTGATAATAATTAAGATTAACAAAGTTAAATTAGGAGAAAGTGAAAATTACTATAATTTTAGAAGTTTTACATATATTCATAGTAAAATGTATAAAAATGATTCCGCAAATCTTATAATATATATATATATATATATATTATAATCTCATATAGAAAACAAATATTACATCATTCAATAGGATAGTGAAAACTCTATATATTAATAATATTAAGAGTGTAATATATTATTATTTTATTAAAAAATAAAAAAAAATTAAATAAAAGCATTAAAAATAATATAATTTGAAATAAAATACCATCAAGATAAAACTATTTACAGAATATATATAGATAAAAATTACTTATAATAAAATTTGAAATGAATTTTTTCTCTTTAAAAAAAATCATTTACTATGTAAAATAAAGGGAAATTATACTAGTTATTAGTTTATGATATGAATATGACTATATATTTGTATAGGATGTTTAGAACTTTTTTATATTTCTATCTGATTATATATCTAAACCTTTCTTTACCATCTAATTTTGTCCAATTTAGAAAAAAAATATTATATCATATGTGAATACTTGTTATTATAGATAGAGGATTTGATATCAAAAATATACCAAAATAACCGGATGATAAAACAAATAAATATTTTCTAAAAAAAATAATATTATAATAAGATAAAAAAATATATGAATAAGAAAACGGGTAAAAAAAATATTTCGAGTTTGGATTTGCCGTAATAATAACAGGTTATGTCTCCGGTTTATAGTATATGCAACCCATCTCTAAATTAAATCCTCAAATTTAGAAGAACTATCAAATATATAAGAATTTCTCACCAACCCAACTCTATTTGAGAGAAAAAAAATATATATGTTATATTTTCCTTTAGAAGAAACATATTCATCTCAATATTTTTTCTTTAAAATAGAGTAGGTTGAAGAAAAATCCACCTCTATTTTAAATAAAAAATAAAAAAATTATATTGAAAATGATATTATCTATAATATATTATTCCAATGGAAGGAAAACAAGTACAAGTCATCAAAGACAGGAAAAGAAAGAATATTAATTTTGTTTAGTTTTATGTTTTTTTTTGAAGTATTTGAGAATATTATTTTATTCATATTAATTTTTTCATGCATCTATTTTTTCCAGCATATCAAAATATTTTTGCACGAATCAAATTTTTTCTATGTTGTTATCGATTATTTTTATTTGGTATTAATACAAATATCAAAGTTACAAACAAAAAACACTCAAATTTTTAATATATCAATCAAATATTAAATATATTATATTATCCTATAGATATAATAATAATAAACTCTCAATTTTTTATATGTTGTTACCCTTTATTTTTATTTTATATTAATACAAATATAAAAGTTACAATAAAAAAAACTCTTAATTGATAATATAATTATCAAATTCTATCAATTATTAAAAATTAATTCGTATTTATATATTATTCTACTGTGCAAATCAATGCTTTCACGTATGTGTAGACACACTACCTCGTAAGAAAATAAACAATAATTATGAAATGTAAGTTCATAAATATATGTATGATTATAGAAACTTGTAAAAACTGACCACAAAAAGAAACTTTTGGTATTACAATATTCTATTTATAAAGTTCAAAAAAATATATATATTCTATTTATAAGATTTAAACTAAGCTAATGAGAAATGAGATTAAATTTACATGCCAAACAAATTTGACTTTTACTAGATTGACAAATGATTTATAATGCTAAAACTTATGTATGTGTAAGTCGTCGGCAAAAAAAAGTGTATCGCTGGATAATGTTATATGTTTCTTTAAAATCATTTATGTTGTTACTACGTTGATGAATAGAAGATAAGATAAAAGTAAACCTTTTTGGGGTCTAATTCTAAGTAAGATATCTATTTTTTTGGAAAGAAAATCTCACACTTGAAAGAAATAAAAAAACATAAGTGATTGTTTTAGCAAACTTCTGAACAATAATGGAATAAAGTTTAAATAATCATGGTTTAATAATTGAGAAAATCAGTAAAATGTCCACGCGGAGATCATATTGTAGTTGAACAATAGAGTTCTTTTATTTTTTTTTCATTTTCTTTATAAATATCTTTGTTGATATAAAGGTCAACAGAAGCAATGAGCTTGTGATAAGAATGGGGAGTTCTAGATGATGTGGACGACCCTTCAATGATCGTTTCAGATCACGACGTTATGTTCCTTAGTGGGTCTCCATTTCCTATTAACAAAATTAAGATCTCAAAGGACGGCCAACTTTTTATATATTTTATCTCTTTGGTTCTTCTATCGTTACGTATTGTTTACTCTTCTGCTAGAGTTTTGATCTTAATCTCTCCTTTCTAACGACTTTAAAGATCATGAAACTATTTGTTAAAAAAAAAAAGTGGTGTAAATAGACAAATAAATACATACCATCGAGATAAACCGCACCGTCCGATTGGAATCCAATAGAAGCAGGAAACTTTCCAGGCAGTCGCGCTTCGCCGACGCCAATGGAACCACCAGTCCCTAGTCCTAGAGACAAAACGGCTTCTTCGTTTTCACCGTCCCATCCTTTACTTTTGTCGAATTTTGGTCCTTCGCTTTTGAACAACTTAGTTTTTTCACCTTCCACTGATGCAAGGTCAGTGCCTACGTCACTAACCCCCCCGCCGCGACGGAGGATTTCGAGAACTGTGATTTCAAAGTAAGCATCTTGTGGGAAAGCAGAATTTAGGAGTTGTGGTCCGGGAAGTGGCAGAGCTCCTCTAAGAACCATCAATGGGTTTTTCCCGTTGAGTGTCTCGCTAAACAGTTGATTAAACTTGATCGTTTGAGTGAAATCTACGGATCCGTTTGACACTTCCCATGTGATCACTACACCAGAATCTTCGCTCCTTGCTGTCCTGCAGATCCCTCGAAGATTCGACCGCGGAGAGGACCCAAACACCGAAGGAGCCAATGCATGGACAGCGAATCCGAATCTTATCCACCCATTCTCGACCGCTTCAGTCACCAAAGCAGGATGGTCTGTCCAGGTGAATAGACCAGGTTTCAATGGGAATCCTCTGGTTGCGGGGCTACATGAGGCGTAATAGCTGTTGATATTTCCTCGGCGTTTAATGTCGGAGGTATCTAGCTGGTGGATAAGACTGGTTTGGTGGAGCTTGGATATTTTAGTTCGAAAGCTATTGCTTCGAATGGGGCTAGCTTCGTTAAGGGCGATGGAGCTCTCCGGTCGACGTAAACAGCACCAGCGACGGATAAAGACTACGAGGACAGATGAGAGGACGAGAACGGAGAGAACTCCTGCAGTTAAATGATCCCATCGCAGCATCTTTGAGATAGAAGATATCTGAGATCGAGAGATGGAAAGAGAAGAAGGACATGGGAGGAGTGGACTTGGACCCGTTCAAGAAGGCTGGGTGGTCGAAAGTACTAAAGAAAATTAATATGAAATTGTACTGAGAAAGCGTCAAGGTTTAACAAAAAAATTTTAATACAAACATGGAGTTACAAGAAGTAGTGGAGGTATATAATGGTTAACTTAAAAAAAATAGATAAGTGGTTTTTTTGTTATTATGATTTTTATGGTATATTGTTATTGTGATTTTCTTTTTTTACTCAATTATATATCATGAGTCATTTGATCATAAAAGAATTTTGTGGTCGGTGGTTTTGATGGTTTTGACATCGGTAAAAGGAGTTAAAATCTGACAACACTGCTGATCAGATTTCTTACTATGAATCAACTGTATTTTCACATATCTATCTATTTGCTGAACATGATACGCTATATATAATTGTATTTTGAAAATGAACTTGAGTAGTATGTGTTAATTAAATTTATTTTCATCGAGTAAATCAATGTTGTGAATTGTAATAGTTATGAGTATATTGTTTTAACAAAAACGTTAATCTATTGAATACTAGCATATCAGAGTAAAAATGATATAAACAAATTTGGCATGATATAAAGAATAATCATATATATAATGAGAGAGTCTTCTCTCTAATGAAGGTGTCCATGTCATCATTTTTAATTTATAAATAATGGGCTTTAAAATGCAAACTGTTGGGCCTTATTTTCAAATCGTATATACTTACCACCCTCATCGAATGAGTCATATTTTTAAACTCTCTCAAAGATTACAAATCACTCTTATGACACATAAGCTATTTACCTCGCCTCCTCTTTCAATCCCTCCTCATACACGAATCGCTTCTTCTCATTCTGAAAAACAAAACACTTCCATCTCTTTAATCAAAACACATGTGCATATATGGAGCCAGCTATGGAAACTACTCTTACCAACATACAATGCGACCAATCATTTTTATAAAATCAAAGAAAGTTATTTTGTTTCAAAGAAAGTTATCTTTTGAACCAAATTCTGTTCCTGCTTTTCTTCTTGTGTTTTGTGGAATCAAAGCTTGAAGAATTGTGTAGAATTTATTAACTCTTGTGAGGATTAGCTCTTGAGTTAGTAAAGTCTAAATTCTTGTGCTTGGAGTTCAAGTACAACTGGTTTCCCATCATTCAAACCACTCCTCCATCAACTTAAGCTTCTAAGTGAAGATTTCAAGAAAACAATACTTGAAGCATTTCAAAGCTTGTATCACACTTCCTCTCTATACATCCACAGGCTTTATATTCATTGGGATGCAATATTAACAACCCTAATAACAAACCCACAACACTACCTCAAATGCTAAGGTACACTATTTCTTAGACGTTACTCTTACTATCGCTGCTTATATGATAACCATTAACTCAATGCTTCTAATTTCACCCTCTTTAAAATGTCACCCTCTTGCATACCCTTCATTAATTTACCCTAAAGCGTTACTTTAACTTGCACCATAAATAGTGTCTCTTACACCACCCTCTTGCATACCCTTTATTAATTTACCCTAAAACGTTACTTTAACTTGCACCATAAATAGCGTCTCTTACACCACAATTCCTCATATCTCCCTCTGCAATCAAAGAAAACTCAGTCCTTTCCTAACAAATACTCCAAAAAGTCTTAAGTTGATGTCATCACTATTCTCACATGTGCTAATTAACTACGTTACTTTCGACGATCTCTGTCTCGAACGCTCAACTTAACAAGTTGTGGGGCAACTTTACGATTCTGGGATGCTTACAAGTCGTAACACGGAGAAGGAAGGAAATACAGATTTAACAAGTGGTTCATAGCAAAAGTGACGTAAATAAAAGTGAGTCACCAGAGTAATATGCTAATCATTTCAGCAACTTATTTGTTAATATAACTAACAACATGCCTATTACTGTATTGCATTACTAATTCTTTTGCGTCTGTGACCACTATTTTACACAGAAAATAAGAAACAAGGATGCAGACTTTTGAGACTCTCGAGAGCAACAGATCACACACAGAGCCATAGTAGACACCACCATTGCAGTGGATCGATGGTGTTTTTTTTTATGAGAAACAATCAGACAGTACATGAACAATTTCTGTTAATTTAAAAGCGTTTACTACAGTTATTATATGATAAATCGACTACAGCTGAATTGTTATCAATATCTTATATTTTATGAGAGATCAGATAGACTCTTTATATCATACCAGTTGGATTGTTGTTGAATTCTCCAGCAGTAGTAATGTATATAAAATAGCGAGTACAGACGTTGAAACGATGATGATTTGGAGTGAGAATATAAATTGTGAAACAAAGGCCATAATAATCACCAGTGAAAGATAGAAATATTACATAGAGAAGAATTAAATGAATGAATGATGTTTGAAATTATAGTCTGAGCCAGCTCAAGCCTCCCGTTATATTTATCTCTTTTTGAAATACGAGCAAATTGCGACAGTGCAAACCAGAAAATCAAGAAAACCAGAACTGAAAATTAGAGTTTGCTAATTCATTTGGACATGAGAATGAGGTTTTCGTTTGACCAGCTAAATTAATTTTACAATAATTATGAAAAGTTTAAAAATCAACAGCAAAACTAAAAAGAATTAATACATTTTAGTATTCATTTAGTCAAACAAATAGCAATTTCAAATACAAACTTAAATATAAATAAACATAATATATAAAACTAATTACAGATTCAAATAACCTGCGCAATGCGCGGGTACAACTCTTAGTAAACAAAATGTCAAAACCGCGTTTAGCATTTACTTAACTAATAGTATTAGTTATCGCTATCATTTAAATATATATATATATATATGATGCTATATTAAATCAATACAACAATAACCATTGTGTCTTTCCAGAGAAGGACACATCAGCATTTTCAAAGTTTCTTAAGCTGACACATCAGCATAAATGAAAAACCAATCAAAATAAAACATTAATACACATCATATAATATTATTTGACACATAGATAAACTCTTTTTTTTCCAAACCCATGAAAAAGCCCACTAACTAACAAAGACATATTAGTTAATACATCAATTTAGTAGATTAGTTTAAGAGTACCTAAATTTAGTCGTTAGTGGATTAGTTTAAGAGTACCTAAATTTAGTCGTAACACTGATAATGAGTTTTCAAGATTGAAAACGGCTACATATGTATGCATCAATATAAAATCAGTGTAGTAGTGTTTGAGTTATATACTTATATTCTTTCATCCATAAACTATATACTATATATTCATTATATATATATGACAAAATATATAATTAATTCTCTCAAATCCATTCGTAGCACAGCCGTGAAGGTCTGAACATCACCACACACTCCTTCTAAAGAAATAAAGATACAACATAGGACGGAGTGGAATTTTCAACATAGCCTAAGGTGATCAAGGATATATATTTACAATCGTATCTGGTAAATGAAGAATCTATGTGCTTACAATCGTATCTGGTAAATGAACCGTTTATAAAACTTGATGTTGATTAAAAATTTAGTAAAAGAACTTAGATTGAACTTCACCAAGTATGTGTGTGAACATAAACTTACGTTTTCTAACCATTTCGAAATCAAACAAAAATTGATGGGCGTTAAAAAAATAAAAACCATGGGTTTAGTCGGTTTGGACAAGTTAGTCGATTTAAAACATTTTGCTTACCGGCACCGGTTTCAGAGAATGTCAATTTTGTAATTTTAAAAATAATTTGATTAAATAAAATTTCAAGGAAATAGAGCAAACTTTAGAAAAAGTTAACTCATCGAAAAAGAGGTATATATAATTTGAAATAGAAATAAAATAGTACAATTTTGATGGAAATTTGTTAAAAATATTGAAAGAAAATTATTTTTTTTACTGGAAATTCATTAAAAAATTACAATTATAACCAAAGTTAAAGAGCACCAAAAAAAGCAAAATTTGAAAATTGGTAGAAGAAAAATGAACGTTAAACGATAGTGGCTGAAAATACTAAAAGATAAGAAAAATGAATGGCTAAGTATGACAATTGATTTATTATCATTTTTGAAAGTAAGAGAGACATGATTTTGTCTAAAAAAGAGAGTGACATGATTATTTATAAGAATAAAAATAATAGAAACATAAGTACTATAAGAAGGGTTTAGTAGGATAGATTAAAAAATTAAGACAAGAAAGATAAGTCAAAGATAACCACTCATTTTGCACTCAATGTCATACAAAGATAGACAAATTACATGGCTATTTAGTTGAGAATAATATCATAGATGATTAAAAGATATTGAGTTATACCAATGATCAAATAGAAATACAGAGACTAAGAAAGAAATGTGATATTCATAGAAGAATTAGTAAGGAGAGCAGCTAAATTATATTCATTAAAAAATAATATAATTTTGAAGAATATATTGTGAGTAAAAGAAAATAAATGTAAACAAATTCAAATATAAATAGATAACATGTTAGCTTTGAGTGAGGTTTTATGAATAAATGATATATTCAAATTAAAAAAAATTAAAAAATAAATAGATACATTTTTTTAATAATGTATAAAAAATAGATGATGTTAGAGAGTTGGAAAGAAATATAAATTAAACAAAAATATAATTACATTCGTATTTGATTTTATTTAAAATAATAATTTTTTTCAAAATCTTATATCATTGTACAAAAATAATAATAATAATAATATTATTAAAAATTTATTAATTATATTTAATTAAATTTTAGTTAAACTATTTATTTCTATATCTATTTTTTTATTTATTAGAATATGATATAAATTAATAAAATAATAAAAAAAATCCTACAGCATCGCGCGGGTATATACCTAGTAAAATTAATAAGAAGAAAATCTAATTTGTGATGCGTTAAAACGTTCAATATTGTTAAGAGTTAAATTTAGCATGTCGAGAAATTCTTCATCCTTCATTCAAAAATAAAAGTATATCGGCCAAGCCCAGAAAATTTTCCTAAAAGCCATTAATATTCATCGTCCAAACCCAAAAAAACAGTGCCATCCCTTAGATACTAGTGGCTTAAAACAAATTTGAAAATATGTAACCTTAAATATAGATTACTAATGATGAAAAAATAACACTAAAACAATATAACAATATTTAAAATCAATAATATGATAGTTTGTGAAAACTAAAATGTTTGATTTTTGTAAGTAAAGACGTTAAAAATATTTTAAATTTGTCAAGATTTACTATAATTT